GTAATGCCCAATTAGAGATAATCTTTGCATCTAGGGATGTACTTTGCATATTCAGTTGTCTTTTGATCAGGTATTTGAGAGTTTCGGTTGATATAACCATAATTAAATTTTAAAGGCAAGGAGATACAAGATGTCTCCGTCTTGCTTCACTGCCTCTGGCAAAGGAGGGAGAGACAGCTTAATCACTTAAAAAAGATGTAATAAAAGCAAATTGTGAAAAGTAGAATTTTAAGGCTCCTTTTAAAGTTATGACTAAATTACACATCCAGATTACTCTTTTTGGCTTGTTATAGTGGAGTGGGCTTGGAAACCTCAGCCATTTGACCACTGAATACATTGCAGCAAGTTTAACCAAGAAGCTTAACACTCACTGGAAATGTTTCCTGGCAATTTAGTGCTCTCCTTGCACACCCCATCCCTCCAAGCCTCATACAGAAATGCTGACTTTGGGGAACATTTTAATAGATAGCTAAAAGTTTGATGAAATGCTTTTTCTTTTCATTTTGAATTCATTTGGACTTTGTAAGACCGATGATGCTGTTCGAGTATACTCGTGCTTCAGAGAAGAAAATAGCTGTGGGGCTGGCATGCAGAGAACAGTTTTAAATCATTGCCAGGGTTTCAACTTTTAATAACAATTTTTGTTCATTGTTTAGAAAATTATTATATTTGCTTTAGTAACTCACAAAGAGCAGTCTGATGAAAAATAAAAAAATAATGCCGTGGTTGCTGAGAATGACATCAGTGATGAGTTGTTGCTAAAGTGAGTTGTTTGGCATTGTATTAGGGCCTGTGATTTTTATCAGTTATCTGAATAATTGATGGTAGATTAGCCACATGCAAAGTAAGTATTGAAGGAGAATCTCATTTTGTGGACAGCTTAAAATATTGGAAGGGGATACCTTGTGAAAAGCAAATTGTTAAAATTAATTACTTAAAAGTGTAAGATTATGGCTAAAAACTTATAGGATGTTAGTTAAGAGCAGTAAGTCAATGAGCAATAATTCTGTAGCATTTTTCTCAGGCCTGGCTGCATATTAGAATTGTCACCTGGGGAGCTTCCAAAAAATTAAATTCAACTTTAAATAAAATATGTGGGTATTAGTATTATGTTTACAGCCAATATGTGGCAAGAAGTAAGAAGTAAGAATCAGTGAGTTATGAATGAATAAGTGATATATTTAAGTCGGCCAACACCTGGAAAGTGTGGAAAGAGTGAGCTCTGTTTCAGATCCTGTGACAACTTTTATACTGACAGTCTTGTGTGGAGGTCTCTATTTTCCCTTAGTTCTTATGGAGTCAGTGGTCTAGAGGTAATAAAGAAACAAATTACACCTCCAACAGCTTTCCGTGTTTTGAGACTTGCAAAAGCTTAGGATTTTAAGATGGTGCTAGTTGAATAATAGTACCACTCTACTCTGATTTTTATTGAGAGAGTATATTCTGGTGAAAGTTACTTTCTTTTATTTATTCACTAATTTCTTTTAAAGATTTTATTTATTTTTAGAGAGAGGGACAGGGAGAGACAGAGAGGGAGAGAAACATCAGTCAGTTGCCTTTCGCAAGTCCACAGCTCTGGATCCTGCCTGCACCCTAAGCATGTGCCCGGACCAGGAATCGAACCAGCAACTCCTCAGCCTGTGGGATGATACTCAACCCACTGAGCCACACCATCCAGGGCTAAAACAATATTCAGTTTATATTGTGGAGCTATGAGTCGGGGGTACAAAAGGATAATTTTTTATCCTGAGGAAGAAAGTGAAATTGCTTTCTCTGTTAATTCATATGTTATAAATATACTTTTTAATACTCTTTATATAATACTTGTCATTATAGTGTATGATGTGTCATAAAAATAGAATTGGTGCCAGTATATTTCAATTTTTAAAATTGTTTCCAAAGACATTTGAATGGGAAGCAGTTCAACACAGGATGGACTCTTAATAGATTAAAATTCATTATAAAGTGGTAGGAATCATCCACATCCACTCCAGACTACATCATATGCCATCCAAATGTGAAATTATTTCAATTCCTTCTTGGAGTTTCTCTTCTGGGCCTTGGCTAAAGCACCTACATTATTCAAAATCCCAGGAATTCAAACCACTGTTTTAACACTACATTGGTAGCAAGTGGAAAATTACAGTGAATTTACACGAGTTCAGCATTGCCATTTATATGCAGACCAAAAACATTAAACAGAGCAGATTCCACCAGAAATTGCAGGTTCATCAGATTTTAGACTGAAAACAGGCATGGAAAAGTTATCTGTTTCACCCTACCTCACCCTCAGTTCTCAGGAAGCTCTAAACTCAATCCTGCCTGGGCTGAGGAGACTGCCCTTTTATGAAAAATCCTCTAGAGTGAACAAGCTGCAGCTCTTAGGCCTCTATTTCATTATCTAATAATGCACACTGTCAGGATCTGCCCCCCCACACACAACATACCAATTTTAATCCATTTTGTCCAATTAAATGCAGATAGAGGTCACTTCAGCTTCTTTGAAAGTGGTTCCAGAGATATCTTATGGGGAAAGCACTCAGGGAAACTGTAAATGCTATTCAGATGTACAGAATTCATAAAAAATATCATGTGCCTGAAAAAGTGCATTTCACTTGTTCCTTTTGTTCTCTGGAATGCTGTGACCTGACAGAGAAGAAAGTTGAAGACATTTCAGAATTGCGGAAGTACTAGTTCATTTTTTGTTTTAGTTAATCAGTGGCCATTGTTAACTGAGGGAAACAAATTATATTAGCAGCATGTGCAACATCATGCAGAAATCACTTACTGACCCTCTGCCACTTGTCTTTTACTTTTCGCCTATTTGCAGAATGATCTGAGAACTGCCTTAAAGGTAGCTCTTTTTTATTTACTCTGTACCACCTCTCACTTATGTGGAAAACTAGACAACCATATGAATATTTAACAGAATGTTGTAAATTGCAGTGTATATATGGACTCAACAATTTCTATAATTCAAATTGGCATGTTATATGGTTCAAGTGTTGCAGAGACTATACAGTGAGACTGTAACTTAGAACAGAAGGTGAGGGTAAGTGTGAAGAAGAATAAACTATGCTTTTGGTAGGCATATTCACCTTAGTTTACGTTTTACAAAATGGATCTTATGGAAAATTTAGTGATCTTACTTTTAAGCTGCATCAGACCCAATATTTTACCGATGCAAACAAAATCAGTTCCTAAATCAAAATGTTTATAGCTACCATTCTAGTAAAGTTATTTTTTAGTTTTCCAAAATTGTTTGAAAGTTTACCTGCTGATTTGTACAAGAGTACTGATTTGTACAATCAGTTGTTCCAATTCCCTGTATTTAGGCTGATGGGGAAATAGCTAAGCTATCCAGCACTCATACTTAAACTGATTTTTTTTTTGCCAGCTTGCCATGAATAGAGATTCCCACAGCCTCCCTTAGCCCCAGCAGTTACCCTTTATGTATAGCCTGAATCTCTCCTACTTCACTTTATCTCAACTACTCTTCAGTTGATTCCCTACAGATTTTGAAGGAAATCCCCCACTAAATAATTATTTAATAAGCTTAAATAAAAGATGGTAAGGCAAAAGGTCTTACCTATCTATATTTTGGGGGTGGTTTTTATTTTTTAGAAGTAAAAAAGCATGTTTCCTGTACTATATACATAAGGTGCAAAAAATTCAGGCTAGAGTACATCTAAACACAGACATTTGGAGAAGTTTGCAAGCTCCAAGTGGTTTGTTTACAGTGATTATTTTCAGGTAGAGATTTACATCTTTGACCTTTGACTAGATCATCGAAAGGAAGGAAACTCTTTGTGGCTATATACTTTTAAAACACTTTATGTTGAGGGATTATCTTTTCCAAAAATAATGGAAATATATAAGTGGATATTGGAATATAAGTCAAAGTATAAGTCATAAGTCAAAGTATAAGTCATACTTCCTTTGACTTAAACATATGGATGTTTCAAACACAGTAGTATAGTACCATCAAAGGAGACAGCCCCAAATTTATATAAGAAAAAGTATTATCCTGATTTAAGAAAAGAAAATAGAGTGAAGCCTCAGTGAAATACAAGGCTGAGAGAAAATGGAGCTCGACTTTAGAAGATCTAGATTCAGCAGATCTACTTCTTTAAAATGTAAAAGAGATTTTAGAGATATATTTTGTGAAATGGGACTTTTAAAAAAAGATTTTATTTATTTATTTATTTTTAAGAGAGAGAAAGGGAGGGGAAAAAGAGGGAGAGAAACAGCCATGTGTGGTTGCCTCTCACTCGCCGCCGCCCCCCACCACTGACCTGGTCCACAACCCAGGCATGTGCCATGACTGGGAATTGAACCAGCGACCCTTTGATTTACAGTCTGGCACTCAATCCACTGAGCTACACCAGCCAGGGCTGAAATGGGACTTTATGACAATAGGCCCTGAGAGATCACAAAGGAATGTATTTCCTGTGAAGTCAAAGAACTTACAAATTTTCTTTGTAGAAATAGGTGATCATTTTGTTAATAGAGACAGTCATGGTGTTTCTGTATTCTTATAAGTAATTCTTTTGAGTTTGGAAGTAATTTGCATTCTGTTTTCTGCTGTCTGGTAAGGGTGTTGACAAGGCTGTCATCAATAGTTGTAAAAAAATTAAATACTTCCAGTCAGACCTTTCCTAAGTTAGTGTGTTGCCATGATGGTGATAGTTGAGATTCTGTGGATGAAAGAAAAATGACTGACAATAAAAATTATTGTTTCTCTAGGATACTTGGCTTAATTTAAACATTTTAGGATTGCAGTGTTGGCCTCAGAACAGTGGCCCAAGCAACACTTTCACTAAATCAGCAACTAAGAGCTTAGTGGAGTTTGACATTCCTAACCAGGTTTTGCCCTCTCTCTACTGCTCTTTCTCTCTCTTTAGACCATAGCTAAACATGCTTAGACAAGAAGTTTGAGTTCGTAGAAGCATGGAGAAATGTGACGAGACACTGACTGCTTTCCTCTTTCTTTTGGTCAGTGTGCTGGAGAAGACAAACGAGTTGGTACACGCACTGTGTTTGTTGGCAATCATCCAGATTCAGCAGCAGAAGTTTACATTGCACAAAGGTTTTGTGATAATAGGATAGTCTCATCCAAGGTAAGTTTTTAACTCAATATATATTCATATAGTGAGCTAGATAATGCACTTATCAGCTGAAGCATCTTTCACTTGCCTTCCATTATGATTCAGTGTTCATTATGCATCTTACTTTAAGCCATAAAGTGTGCTAAAAGTAGGAATTATTTACTTGCCCAAAGCTTCCTGTATTGCCCTTAATTGGATGGACTAGTTTGTATGTAATTTACTTTTTCTTTGGAGAGTGCTTTCCTGGAAGGACATCTGTATCTCTTTCTGTTTCACTGAGGAGCTTCTCAAGTACACTACTGGGTTCTAAGAGTGTGCCCTTCTTGGTACAGTGCTTCAGCAGTTAAGAGTCTGAATATCTGAGTTTAAATCCTGGCCTGACCACTTACTAGCTCTGTGACCTTCACCAAATTAATCCCTAAGTTTGAATGTTCTCAGTGAAATAGAGCTAATATTTGATATGTGAAAGCACTCCTTATAGTTCCTGGTACCCATAGTCATCTTTCTACAAGTATTAGTTTACTAACCTTAACCTTTACCTTTGGCTGACCAGATTAGATGCTAGGTACTGGACGGTTAACCCACTGCCACCCCTTGTATCATGGAGCAGATTTTGATAATTTTCCATACTCACTCATGCAACCTGACGAGGCATATCTAAACTGTTGGTGAGAGTTGGTTCACTGCATATTTGCAAACATCTTAGGACATGCAACACAAAATCATGCAATTTTAAAATTTTTTTAACATTTTAGTTTTTAAATGTACGTGTGATTTATCTTTGGGTAGTGATGCAGTGCGGATTGTACTTAGCTAGGAGATTAACATGTAAAATATAGACAGAATGAGTGAAAACTGTTTGTTGTCTTATGATCTGTTGGCCTGTAGAACACTATGAGTATAGTTGGATACAGTGTCTTTCCTGTTAATTTTTAACCTTATGGCGGAAAATTTATCTTCAGCCAGTAGCTTCCATGTGTGCCCAAGGTAGGCCTTCACTGAAAATTGTGACTTACCCCATAATATCTAAGAAAACAACTAATAGTAGTTATTTGACTCAGAATCATAGACTCGTAGAACAGAAAGATTCTAAGATCAACTTACTTTGCAGATGGAGAAAGTAAACCCAGAGAAAGTGAGTAAGTGACATGGTCTCCAAGCTGAGTTAGTGATAAAGCCCTTTTCTTTTTTATTTTTTTAAGATTTTATTTTTTTATTTTTAGAGCGAGGAGAAGGGAAAGAGAGAGGGAGAGAAAGAAACATTAATGTGTGGTCACTGCTCATATGACCCCCACTGGGGACCTGGCCCACAGATGCCCTGACTAGGAATCAAACTGGCAACCCTTTGGTTTGCAGCCTGTACCCAATCTACTGAGCTATGCCAGCCAGGGCCAAAGTACTCTCCATTTGATGTAATACACCTATCAAGACATTTTTTTCCACTGCTCAAAACAGTTTTTGAACTTTTCGATTTTGATGTATTTTAGTGCTTCTGCCAATTTTTGTTTCAACTCCTCTACATTGGCAAGACATTTCCCTTTGAGGACTGTTTTTCATCAGGGAGACAAAAAAATCACTTGAGGCAAGATCAAGTGAATAGGGAGGGCGGGGCGTGGGGCTCATGCTGTTTTTGGTCAAAAACTGCTGAACACTCAGTGTGGTGTGGGCAGATACTTGTAAATAACCCATCATGAAATAGGCAAGTGATTTGCAAGAGTCTTCAAAAAAATTTCACTGAGGTCAAACGCAGCCTCTTATAACAGTGCCAGCTGGTATACTGATACAGATGGATTGCTAGAATACTCACCTAGTGGGGGAAACCTGTACTACAAGGGTCCCACCCTCTAGAAAAGAATTCCAGTTATTTTGGGGGGGGGGAGTCCCCCCTCATACTAACCATAAAAAGAATGAAATCTTAATACAATGAATATTATAAGAGGATAGTATACAGTATATAGTGGTGGGGAGATTCATCCTTGTAGACAGAGAACCTGGGTTTGAGGTTAAAGTAAGTCATTTAACCACTCTGTGTCTCAATTTTCTTATCTGTAAAATGGGGATATTAACAGTACTTACCTTATAGGATTGTGATGAGGAGTGAAGTAAAGTAACCCACAGAAAACATTTAAGCACTGTGCTTTGCTTATAGTAACAACTCAATGGTAGTTGCTGTCATACTTATATTTCTGTGATTATTGTTATAATAGTCCTGAACAGTAAGTACTGTTGATTTCTTCAGTCTTATGTATTTTGAATGTGAAACATTCAAAAGGAAAAAGGAGGCCTTTGGATCCATTCTGGAGAGAGCAATAGTTTTATAATTTGACTTTTTCTTCCTCACATTGTCTTTTGTCTGTATTTGCACCAGAATCTTTTAATGAAGAAATGAACAATGTATAGTATATATTAGCTGCCTTCCAACTTTGTAGCAAGTGTTGATTTTCTTTCTCAACTCTTTTTTAAAATTTTCCCTGAACTTTATTTTTTAATATATTTTATTAATTATGCCATTACAGTTGTCCCACTTCCCCCCTTCATTCCCCTCCACCCTGCACACCCCCCCACCATTCTTCCCCTTTAGTTTATGTCCATGTGTCACAAGTTCTTTAGATTCTATATTTCCCACGCTATTCTTGCCCTTCCCACTGTCTATTTTCTACTTTCTCAACTCTTCGGTAATAAAAATAACTTTCTTTTAATTGATTGCTTTTTGTTTGTTTATAAATGACATCATTAATGCCAGTGTAACACTGGGAATAAGTCTTGTCAATGTAAGGAGCACTAAAGATGTAAAAAAAAAACAAACCTTTGACCTACTTGAAATTTTACTTATAAAATTAGTGTTCTTCTGCCTTGGCTGGTGTGGTTCAGTGGATTGAGCGCTGGCCTGCAAACCACCCGGTTGCCAGGCAATCCCCAGTCAGGGCACATGCCTGGGTTGCAGGCCAGGTCCCCAGGAGGGGTTGTGTGAGAGGCAACCACACATTGATGTTTCTCTCCCAGTCTTCCTCCCTCCCTTCCCCTCTCTCTGATAAATAAATAAATAAATAAATAAAATCTTCTAAAAATTACTATTCTTTTCTTTTGGGAAACACAAACATTTCTTTAGAGAAACTTATTTGGGAATCACCAGAAGTTTGTAGTTGGTAGGAAACTCTTGGAAATCCCCTCTTGTAGCATATAAGGAGAATTGATTGCTTTAGCTTTCATGGTATTCCTCTGTTCTACTTGCTTTTTTCCTTTGAAAATCCTAAGCCTCATCTTGAAGGCCATTCAGTGGGATAAGAATCAGTGATCTCCACCTACCTCTTTGAAAGTACGCCTGAGTTAATCTGAGTACTCTTATGTAAAAGGACATCTTGTATTAAAGTTTCAAGCCTAAAATTACACTAGTGTTTATCCTCATTTTAAAAATCAGATAGAGTGGAGGGGAGATAGGAAGGGATAATGGGGGGAAGGGTTTCAGGAACACTTACAAGGGACAGACACATGGACACAGCCAAGGAGAAGGGGTGGGATCAAGGGTGAGAAGTGGGGATGGCAGTGGTAGGGGGAAAATGGAGACAATTGTACTTGAACAACAATTAAAAAAATAAACTTAAAAAATAAAAATAATCACATAAAGGACCTATGGACATGGACAAAAGGGTGGGTGGGCGGGGGGAATGCGTGGGATAGGGGAGAGCAAGGGGGGTGAAATTGGGACAAGTATAATAGAACAGTAATAAATAAATAATTTAAAAATTAGATTCACCTGTAGAACTTAATCAGATGTCTTTTTGTTTGAGGCTTATCAAACTCCTTGAAGGTGCCTTTTTAGCTAAAGTTACTAAATCCTAATGCATTAATATCCTGGTTACTCTTTTTGCTCTTCTGAATTTATGGTAGAAAGAGTGATACTTAAAAAGAGATTTCTGCTTGGCATTGGCAATAGAAATGAAAGTAGACTGCTATGATGCTCTAAATTGTATTTAATGCCTATAATAAGGAGAGCTGATCATCAAATGAATACAGTAATTTAAACAGAATGAACAGTTACTCGAGCTAGAGCTCTGCTTATTTACAACTGAGTGCTTATTTACAACTAATCTTAAAATACAGTTATTTTGTTCCATCACATCCAAATTCTAGTACTTAGAAAAGTCAGTATTCCTTCTGATAGCTCCTTCACAATTGGCTGTTAACTTTAATACTTAGTTTAAATAGTTACTAGTTCCTTTTTAACTGTTTCCCATTCCCACGTGATGTACTGACAGAGTAGAACAAGTTATTTAGAGCCTTAGTACATGGTCACCAATTTTAGTGCTAAATCCGAAAAATTTTGGACCTTAGGTAAAAACAGGTAATGTTCTAAAGCCTATCTCTGCATAAATTGAAATAATAGACTCTCAAACTATGATTTAATTCATTTCAACCCCTTCCTTTAATAAGTGGTTAATGTTTGAGGGGCTGATCCACAGTTTAGTTAACTATAGAGCAGATGTAAAATGCATTATATAGATTTGGTAAGCTGGCATTTTTGTGTAGAACACAGTTTTAAAATTTATTTTAGTTTTTTACTCTCACCTGAGGATATGTTTATTGATTTTGGAGATAGGGGGCAGGAAAACATCAATATGAGAGAGAAATATCAACCAGTTACACCCATCCTGACTAGAGACTGAACCTGTAACCTAGGTATGTGCCCTGACCAGGAATCAAACCTGACCTTTCAGTTAATGGGACAATGCTCCACCTCACTGAGCCACACTGGCCAGGGCATCGAACCTATTTTTAAACATGTTCTAAATGTTGGTATTGCTTTTTTAAGTTTATAATGGCATGTTAAGATAGTATAAAAGGTATACTTACTGACTTCTTTGATCAGGAACTTACTTATGACCCCTCCATAATCTCCATTCTGATTGTTAATGAAACAAATGCTATAAACATTTTCTTCCTGTGAGCTAACATTGTATTTGGTTTGTAGTGGCTAAGATCAAGACTACTGATCACCCCAATAAATCTAGTACACACCTGGCACCATACATATTTATTATAATATTATTGACTATATTCCCTATGCTGTCCTTTACATCCCCATGACTATTCTGTAACTACCAATCTGTACTTCTTAATCCTTTCTTGTGTTTTACCCATTCTCCCAACTTCCGTCCCATCTGGCAACTATCAAAATGTTCTTCACCTATGAGTTTGTTTCCATTTTATTTGTTCATTTGTTTTCTTTAGATTGTACATGTAAGTGAAATTGTATGGTATTTGTCTTTCTCTGACTGACTTATTTCACTTAGCATTAATACTTTCTAGGTCTGTCCATGTTGTTGAGCTTCATAATAATAACTCATGATCTCAGATAGGAAAGAGGAGGGCATATACTGGTAGTTTCCTCTAAAGCAGAGGTGTCAAACCATTTTCATGGGGGGTCACTTCAGCCTTGTGGTTGCCTTCAAAGGGTTGAATGTAACTTCAACTCCTTAACAGTTAAGGAGTAGTTGCATTTACACAGTCCTAAAATTATTTCAGCCTTTTGAAGGCAACTATGAGGCTGATGTGGCCCCCAGTGAAAATGAGTTTAACATCCCTGCTCTAAAGGGAATAACCATAGTTCCTACAGGAAGTCATTCTTAAGGAAGTTAGAAAAGTGGTAAAGGAACCGTGAGGCCCTAGAAATAACAACAAATGTTTCCTTTTATGTGTTAAGATCCATGAGAGGACTCTTAATAGTTCCTAATGTTTGTTTAATTAAAAACCCTTTAGTTAGCCCTGGCTGGTATGGCTTAGTGGATGGGGTGCAGGCCTGCAAACTTTAACGGGCAATGGTTCGATTCCCAGTCAGGGTGCATGCCTGGATTGTGGGCCAGGTCCCCGTTTAGGGGTATGCAAGAGGCAACTAATCAATGTGTCTCTCACACATCGATGTTTCTCTCTCTTTTTCCCTTCCTTCCCCTCTCGCTAAAAATATATAAATAAAATATAAAAGTTAAAAAATAAAGTGATATTCCAAGGGTTTTTTTTTAATCCTTTAGTTATGTAACATAAGGTCAACAAGCCGGAAGTTCAGCTATTTGCCTGTTGTTGTGATAGTTAGGTGCCAATCTGGACTGCATCAGCTCCAAAGTGTGACTGAATCAGTGCTTTTGATCTTCTTTATTTTTGGACACAAGCTGCCTTGGGAACCTGACGAAAGTGTGGGGTTTCTTCTAACTGATGCCCAGGCACACACAATTGTGCACTTCATTTTGAATGGGCTTCCGTGAGGAATTTTGAACCGCAGAGGAAGAACTTTGTAGGTTGTCTGTTGGTTGTAATGCAGCTACATCACTGAATATGTTTCCCTCTGCTCATCTTCATTTTTCTTGGTATTTCCTGGGGGAATCTTGAGCTCATAAGGTTTTTAAAGAGGGGTTAGCTGTAAATTCTCATGCACCTTATTTAATTTAATGGATATTTTTTCACATTATGGAGATACTTTGGACTGCTCTAGTATGGACTGCTTTGGGTTAAGGAACGTGTTTTTTCTGTCTTCTGGTCTTTCATATAAAGACCAGACAGCTATAAAATCCGACATCTGGTGATTTTTAGTGACCCAGTCCTTGAGTTTAAATTATCAGTGAGAAAGTCTATGGGATTTGACTATTGGCTCAAGAATTTTCTCCTCCTGATCATGTACAATTTAGCATTGAAACCTTTACTGATTTCCAGTTACCAGAGCACAGGATGGTACATTGGTAATTAAAGTGAAAGCCTTGTGTGACCCAGGATTATGTGTACACCTCAGTTGTCACAGAGGTACTGATAGGGACAGAGTTATATCTGTGATTGTAACAAAGACTCCGAAGGTTAGCTAAGCCAGAGAAATTAATTTGTTCATTCATTCATCCAACTAATTTTATTGAGTGTCTACTTTGTGTCAGACAGCATGCTAGATGTTGGGGAAAGTAATGAATGAAAAAACTGATGAACAGCCTGCCCATACAACTCATGCCTGTTGAGGGAGAAATTTTAATTAAAAAGCACACACATACATAATTATCTACTGCAACAAGTATAATTGAGGAAGTATAGGGTGATGTGAGAGCACAGAACAAGGAACCTAATTTAAATCATGTCAGAGAAAGCAGACATATGGGACTAGATCCAGTTGTAATGGTCAAAATGAAAACTTTATTACTTGAAAGTGTTTATTTACTATACCTGTAATTATGCTTATTCATATGTGTGATATTTGGGTTTTAACATGTTTTCAGACTGTTGGGGTAACTGGGACCCATATGACTTATTATTGCTAAGGTTTTTTAGCTTGCTTTCCAATAATATGTTTTTTTTTCTTCTTTACAGTATACACTTTGGAATTTCCTCCCAAAGAATCTGTTTGAACAGTTCAGAAGAATTGCAAATTTTTATTTCCTCATCATTTTCCTTGTACAGGTAAGAGCTCCACATATAGGCATTCCACTTTTAGAAACTTAATTACTTCAAACAAATTTTCAGTCTATTCTTAATCTTTTAAAAAATATGTATTATTGATTATGCTCTTACAGTTGTCCCATTTTTTCTCCACTTTATTCCCCTCCACCCTATACCCCCCCCACCTTAGTTCATGTCCATGGGTCATGCATACAATTTCTTTGGCCTCTCCATTTCCCATACTATTCTTAACTTCCCCCCATCTATTTTGTACCTAACATTTATGCCTCTTATTCCCTGTGCCTTTTCCTCCATTTTTCCCCCTCCCCCTCCCCACTGGTACCCTCCATGTGATCCTTATGTCTGTGAATCTGTTTCATAGGTCATTTTTGTTTTGTTTTTCTTTATTTAGATTCAGTTGTTGATAGTTGTGAGTTGTTGTCATTTTACTGTTTGTATTTTTGACCTTCTCTTTCTTAGATAAGTCCCTTTAACATTTCAAATACTAAGGGCTTGGTGATGATGAACTCCTTTAACTTGACCTTATCTGGGAAGCACTTGATCTGCCCTTCCACTCTAAATGAAAGCTTTGCTGGGTAGAGTTATCTTGGATGTAGGTCCTTGCCTTTCATGACTTTGGATACTTTCTAACTCCCCTCTTGCCTGTCAGATTTATTTTTGACAAATCAGCTGCCAGTATTATAAGGATTCCTTTGTAGGTAACTCTCTCCTTTCCTCTTGCTGCTTTTGAGATTCTCTCCTTCTCTTTAATCTCGGGTATTGTGGTTATGGAGTGCCTTGGTATATGTTTCTTTGGGTCTAACTTCTTTGGGACTCTCTGAGCTTCCTGAACTTCCTGGAAGTCTATTTCCTTTACCAGATTGGGGAAATTCTCTTTAATTATGTTTTCAAATAAGTTTTCAATTTCTCGCTCTTCTCCTTCTGGCACCCCTATGATTTCAGATGTTGGAATGTTTAAAGTTGTCCCAGATGTTCCTAAGCCTCTCCTCATTTGTTTGTATTCTTGTTTCTTCATTCTGTTCATGTCGAATGTTTATTTCTTCCTTCTCCAAACCATTGATTTGAGTCCCAGTTTCCCTCCCTTCACTATTGTTTCCTTGTACATTTTCCTTTATTTCACTTTTCATAGCCTTTACTTCTTCCTCTATTTTGTGACCATATTCACCAATTCTGTGAGCATCCTGATTACCAGGGTTTTGAATTCTACATCTCATAGGTTGGCTATATCTTCATCTGTTAGTTTTATTTTTTGTGGACGTTTGACCCGTTCTTTCATTTAGGCCATATTTTTTTGTCTTGCCATGCCTGTTATATAATAAGGGGCAAAGCCTTAGGTATTCTCCAGGGCAGGGGAGCCCACATCGCTGCTTTGTGGTGCTGTATGTTGGGGAGGGGTCTGAGAGGGAACAATCCTACTTGCTCAGCTCTTGGCCAGCTTTCACTCTCTTCTTCTCCTACCCACAAGCAACTTGGGCCCTTCTGGTGCTGATTCCAGGGCGGGGAGGTTGTTTTGTGTATGTTCGAGGACCTTGTAGGTCTCTAAAAAACTCTCCTGTGTGGCTTGGAGTTTCTCCTGCCACCTCAACCCCCAGAGGTTTTTTCATTCAGAGGTTTTGAGGCTTTATTTCCCTGCACTGGAACCCTGAGTTGCGAGCTCTGTCTTGCTCTCCAGTTGTTACTCCCAGCTTATCCACACGCAAATGGGGGACCACCTGCTTTGCTATCTGCTGCCTCGCCTGCCCCAGTCCTCCAGCCACTGCCTTGCCACAAGTCCTTTTCCCACAGGTGCCTGTCTGCACCCCTCCTGCCAGTCTGGATGAATGTTTCTTACTTAACTTCTTCGTTGTCACACTTCTACACAGTTTGATTTTCTGTCAGTTTTGGTTGTTTGTTTGTTTTTTTGTCTTTAAGCTTCTTGTTGTCCTTCTTTTGGTTGTGCTAGGAGCCAATGTGTGTCTACCCATGCCTCCATCTTGGCTGGAAGGGATTTCTAGTCTTAAAATGCCCTGCAACTAAAAAGATGCTTCAGGTCTTACTGTAAAAATACTTTAAAATTTTTTTTAATCCAAAAGATAGATGTTTATTTCTCTTTTTACTTTTTTAAAATTTATTTAATTGTTGTTCAAGTACAGTTTTCTGTCTTTTACTCCCATCCCAGCCAACCCCCCCAGTGCTCCCCACCTCCTTCCCATTTCCTCCCCCCTTAGTTGTTGTGCATGTGCCCTTTATATTTGTTCCTGTAAATCCTTCCCCTTTTTCCCCTGAAATTCCCTCCCTTCTCCCCTCTGGTCCCTGCCACCCTGTTCTCTATTTCAGTGTCTTTGGTTATATTTTGCTTGCTTGTTTGTTTTGTTATTTAGCTTCCTATTGAAGGTGAGATCATATGGTATTTGTCTTTCACCGCCTGGCTTATTTCACTCAGCATAATGCTTTCCAGTTCCATCCATGCTGTTGCAAAGGGTAGGAACTGCTTCTTTCTTTCTGCTGCATACAATTCCATTGTGTATATGTACCATGATTTTTGGATCCATTCATGTCCTGATGGGCACCTAGGTTGCTTCCAGCTCTTGGCTATTGTAAATTGTGCTGCTATAAACACTGGGGTACATAGGTTCTTTTGGATTGGTGTTTCAGGGTTCTTAGGATATAATCCGAGCAGTGGAGTTGCTGGGTCAAAAGGCAGGTCCATGTTTAGTTTTCTGAGGAAATTCCATACTGTTTTCCATAGTGGTTGTACCAGTCTGCAATCCCTCCAAAAATGCATTAGGGTCCGCTTTTCTCCACAACCTCTACAACACTTGTTTGTTGCTTTGTTTATGATGACCATTCTGACTGGTGTAAAGTGGTATCTCATTGTGGTTTTAATTTGCATCTCTCTGATAGCTAGTGATATTGAGCATCTTTTCATGTGTTTCTGGATCTTCTGTATGTCCTCCTTGGAGAAGTGTCTGTTCAAGTCCTTTGCCCACTTTTTAATTGGGTTGCTTGTCTTCCTGGACTGGAGTCGTGTAAGTTCTTTGTATATTTTGGAGATTAAACCCTTGTCTGAGGTATCATTGGCAAATAGGTTTTCCCATACAGTTTGTTCTCTTTTTATTTTAATACTGTTTTCTTTAGCCATGCAGAAGCTTTTTATTTTGATGAGATCCCATTTGTTTATTCTTTCCTTTATGTCCCTGGCGCTAGGAGACATATCACTAAAAATGTTGCTGGGTGAAATATCTGAGATTTTCCTGCCAATGTTCTCCTCTAGGACTTTAATGGTGTCACAGCTTATATTTAAGTCTTTTATCCACCTTAAATTTATTTTCGTGTATAGTGTAAGTTGGTGCTCGAGTTTCATTTTTTTGCACGTAGCTGTCCAGTTCTCCCAACACCATTTGTTGAAGATGCTTTTATTAGTACCTTTTATGTTGCTGCCCCCTTTGTCGAATATTAATTGGCCATAGAGATTTGGGTTTATTTCCTGGCTCTCTGTTCTGTTCCATTGGTCTATGTGCCTATTTTTATGCTAGTACCAGGCTGTTTTGAATACAGTGGCCTTGTAATACAGTTTGGTATCAGATATTGTGATCCCTCCTACTTTGTTCTTCTTTCTCAAAATTGCAGCTGCTATTCGGGGTCGTTAGTGGTTCCATATAAATTTTTGTAGTGTTTGTTCTATATCTGTGAAATATGCCATTGGTACTTTAATAGGTATTGCATTGAATCTGTAAATTGCTTTGGGTAGTATGGACATTTTGATGATATTAATTCTTCCAATCCATGAACATGGTATATGTTTCCATTTGTTGTGCCTTCCTTGATTTCTTTATTCGGTGTTGTGTAGTTGGTTTTTTACCTCCTTGGTTAGATTTATTCCTAGGTATTTTATTTTTCTTTTTGCTATTTCCAATGGGATTTTTGCTTCTGCTGTTTCATTGTTGGTATACAAAAATGCTTTTGATTTCTGGATGTTGATTTTGTATCCTGCTGTTTTGCCAGATTCATTTATTAGGTCAAGCAGTTTTGGGGTAGAGTCTATAGGATTTTCCATGTACACTATCTTGTCATCTACAAACAGTGACAGTTTTGTTTCCTACTTTCCAATTTGGATGCCTTTTATTTCCTTTTCTTGTCTGATCACTGTGGCTAAAACTACCAATACTATATTGAATAGAAGTGGTGAGAGTGGACAACCTTGTCTTCTTCCTGATCTTAGTGGAAAAGCTTTTAGTTTTTGCCCATTGAGTATGATGTTGGCTGTAGGTCTCTCATATATGGCCTTTATTATATTGAGGAATGCTCCCTCTATTCCCACTTTGCTGAGTGTTTTTATCATAAATGGGTGTTGTACCTTATCAAAAGCTTTTCCCACATCTATTAATATGATCATGTGATTTTTGTCTTTGCTTTTGTTTATGTGATGAATTACATTTACTGATTTGTGAATGTTGAACCATCCTTGCATCCCTGGGATGAATCTCACTTGGTCATGGTGTATGATCTTTTTGATATGTTGTTGGATGTGATTTGCCAATATTTTGTTGAGGATTTAGCGTGTATGTTCATCAGTGATATTGGCCTTAAGTTTTCTTTCTTTGTTGTGTCTTTATCAGGTTTTGGAATTAGGATGATGCTGGCTTCATAAAAAGTTTGGGAGTTTTCCATCCTTTTGGATTTTTTGCAATAGTCTGTGAAGAATAGGGGTTATAGCTCTTCCTTAAATGCTTTGTAGAATTCTCCTATGAAACCATCTGGTCCAGGGCTTTTGTGTGCCTGGAGGTTTTTTGATTACTGCTTCAGTTTCATTTGCTGTTATTGGTCTATTCAGGCTTTCTGCTTCTTCATTAAGTTTTGGAAGATTATATTTTTCTAGAAATCTGTCCATTTTACCTAAGTTTTAAAATTTCTTGGCATACAGTTCTTTATAGTAATTTCTTAGAATCCTTTGTATTTCTGTGGCGTCAGTTGTAATCTCTCCTCTTTCATTTCTGATTGTGTTTATTTGGGTCCTCTTC